TATATATATATATATATATATATATATATATATATATATAAGATCAGTATTCGTTGATAATCCGACTATCATCGATCGTGTAGTCTAAACCACCGGCTAATGCCATTCGATACATTTACCATGTCATCTCTTCACCAGTGGTCCGCCTCTGATTATTTATTCCGACCAGTCACGAGAGAAAATGACCTTATTGTCTGATGACGGTGCCCTCGGGATTGACGGACAGGTCTCCCGCTCTCGGTTGTCTATTGACCCCACCACCCGGGGCTCGCAAACGCGTCTCGGATGCTCCTATGTTTACGATCTATAGTTGAACACCACTACCCGTACCCAAGCCCAGCCGGACTGGGGTGCCTGGGTGGGTAAACATTTTTATGGACTTCCGACACAAGTGTCGCACTCAGTCACTGTCTGATACTGCGGGTCTACTGGCTTTCTTCATCAGTCAGTAATAACAGCCGGGTTCACGCATGCGCGCGCACTAACTAACTAGCTCCGCTGTACTGCTACTACTACTACCACGGACTTGTGTGATGATGGTTTGGTTTCTCACTGGATGCAAAAAATCTTACACATAATGGAGGCTGCTACTCGATAACCTATCTTCGTATTCATCACTCCAAGTATCGGTTCGTATGAGTCCAGTGTTTTTTTTTCGTCTTGGGGGTTTCTCCTTCTCGCGCTCAGGTGTGTCATAACGCGAATCCACAGTTCACATGTGCTACACGGACTTTTCAATGTTCTGTTGGTTTTCCGTGAATAGATATACATGGGGGTGTGTGCGTGTGCGTGCGTGTGTGTCTGTACACCAGTCATAATTCTCAGATTGTAATAAATTTGCAACAGTCAGCCCTTAGGAATTGAGTTGGATTAGCTTTCAGTGAAGTCGGACTATGCAGCAAGAAACATTTTTAAGCCTACTGTTTATATGTGTTTATGTAATCCTTAACGCATAATTTATTGATTGGTTGACGGTCGGTCCTTGCTCCCCGATGCACTCACCCTCACTCCTCAGAAACTGGACTAGTCGCACACAAAGCCTGCCTGGCCTCCAACAATTTACCCGTTCGGATGAGCCCCGGGGTTCACATGAACGGAGTTGGACCCCAAGCACCTCCACTACCTCCTCAGGGCGCTAACAACTCATGGCGCAGTCGTCGTTCTCATCTTACTGCGAGCAGTATTCCATCCACCCCCGTGGCCACGGCACTGACTCGCGGGTCCAGTTCAGCATCCACACTGAGTTCCATGCTCTCCCATTCCGATTCATTCGATTTCTCCCAAATCACCGATGCCATGTCCTCGGTGAATCAGTGGTTGGCGACCGATCCGGCCCAGTCGAACGTGCACCGCTGCCGTCGCATCTCAGCTGGATTGAGTGCCACATTCGGACATACCTCATCCCATTTGGTGGTCGTTGCTCGTCGACATTATCGTGGTGAACCGGCACCGCCGTTTGGCGGTCCTCCACTGTTCATTGTCCCCGGTGACCTAGTTGAACTTGTCAGTTGGGCGGATGATGCCATCTGGTGGAAGGTGAGTAGTAGTGTGCCCATGTGCTTATTTTCCAGACTTGATATATACAGTTTTATTTGAATTAGGAAAAGCTAGGAAGCAGTGGACAGCTGTTTCGACCTGGTTGAGTCTCAGCAGCAGTCAGCAAACCCATCGACATTTCATATAAAAAATAGTGAGGTTGTGAAAGTTTCCAACCGAGTCATAACCCCCGAGAGGTTAGTGCTAAGACGAGCGATGTCCGTCCGTTTGCCCGCAACCAGCTCGCAAAGATGGGTTGTGCTATATGGTGTATATTGAAAACGGAGAAACGGTTTGATCAGCTGCCCAGTGGCCGAGTGGGTAGTATGCTTACGTTCTACCTGTGAGGTCCCGGGTTCGCAATCCCCAGTTGGGTCTATGGGTGTGCACTGCTGATGAGACCCAACCAGATCAAAACAGCTGTCCGGTGCTTCCCAGCGTTTCAGTTCACAC